TATAAATCCCAGTAATCTATTTGCCTTATTACGTACGCTTAGGCATTGCTGTCTTGGTTTAAGGTTGCTGCTCACCATAACCCCTAAGTCCTTTTCGCAATCTGTATGGCTAAGTTCTACATCATTTAATTTATAAGTACTAGGGTTATGGGCACTCCCAAGCTTCAGAACCTTGCACTTATCTACATTGAACTGCATTGCCACTTTTCTGACCAAGAATAGAGTTTGTTTAAGTCCTCCTGAAGTTCCCTAACATCTACGTTTGAATCAATTATCCTACCTATCTTTGTGTCATCGGCGAATTTGCTCATATCACTAGTAATTCCCTCATCAAGATCATTGATATATATTATAAACAACAACGGGCCCAAGACTGATCCCTGTGGAACGCCACTTGTTACAGATCCCCACTCGGATTTAACCCCATTTATGGACACTCTCTGCTTCCTGTCAGTGAGCCATGACTCGATCCACGAGAGCACTTTTCCCCCAATGCCATGAGCTGCCATTTTCTTTAACAGTCTATGGTGCGGAACTCTATCAAAAGCCTTACTAAAATCTAAGTAAATAATATCAAATTCTTTATTGTGGTCAACAGCCTCAAAAGCTTTACTGAAGAAAGTTAATAAATTAGTTAGACAAGACCGGCCTCTTGTGAATCCATGCTGAGTATCATTAATCAAGCTATGCTTATCGAGATGGCTTCTTATAATCTCAGCTATAATTGACTCTAGTAATTTGCCTACAATTGAGGTCAGGCTTATTGGGCGGTAATTTGACGGTAACGACTTGTCCCCTGTTTTAAAAATAGGAGTTACATTAGCCATCTTCCACATATCAGACACTACACCTGTTTGAAGAGATAAATTAAAAATATTAGTTAATGGTTCACAGAGTTCCATTTTGCATTCCTTAAGAACCCTTGAAAAAACCTCATCAGGACCCGGCGACTTATTTTGCTTCAGTCTGTCTATCTGCCTCACAACCATCTCACTAGTGACTGTGATGTTACATAATTTATCTTCTTCTAGCCCACTGTAAAAATTAATTACTGGAATATTGTTAGTGTCTTCCTGTGTAAAAAACTGAGAGAAAATAATTATTTAAATCAAGCACATTTCATTCTCATTGTCAGTAAGGTGCCCATAGTTATTTTTAAGGGGACCTATCTTATCTCTAACTTTTGTTCTATAGACCTGGAAGAAACTTTTTGGGTTAGTTTTAGAATCCCTAGCAACTTTAATTTCATAGTCCCTTTTAGCTTTTCTTATCCCCTTTTTAATGTCCCTCTTAATGTCAATATACTGATTCATAAGATGACCCTCACCTCTTTTGATACGCCTATAAATTCCTTTCTTATGCCCTAGTAGATATTTGAGCCTATTATTCATCCATTTTGGGTCATTTCTATTTGATCTAATTTCTTTATATGGGATAAACGCTCTTTGAGCAGCATGTATAGTGTTCAGAAAACTGTCATATTGATAGCTCTCTTCGTTACCCCCAGTCAACAGATGATAAGTGTTCTTTAAGCCCATCGTAATCTGCTAAGCGAAAATCTGGACTGTTACTGAGTTATCGCTACTATCGTACTTCCATTCAATGCTAAATGTAATTGATTTGTGGTTCGCTAGCACCCAGTTCCTCTGAAATTTCTAAATTATTAACAAGGGATTCATTTTTTGCCATAACTAAGTCAAGCAGGTTATTTCCCCTTGTAGGTTCTGTCACAAACTGCTTCAAAAAACAATCCTGAAATACTTCTAAGAAGTCGTACGATTCTAAATTCCCAGTCAAGAAATTCCAATCAACATGACTAAAGTTAAAGTCTCCTAGAATTACTACATTATCGTGCCTTGTGGCCTTAACAATTTCCTCCCATAGTAGTTTCCCACCTCTCTCTCTCACACACACACCACCTCTCTCTCACACACACACACCACCTCTCTCTCACACACACACACCACCTCTCTCTCACACACACACCACCACCTCTCTCTCACACACACACACCACCTCTCTCACACACACACACCACCTCTCTAAATAGCAAAAAATGCACAATACCGTGCCTGGAACGATACACAAATAACCCGCACATAAAAGAGAGAAGCTTACGACGACGTTTCGGTCCGACTTGGACCAATGACATAGCCACACTGTGTGACTTTGTCAATGGTCCAAGTCGGACCGAAACGTCGTCGTAAGCTTCTCTCTTTTATGTGCGGGTTATTTGTGTAACACCACCTCTCTCTCACACACACACACCACCTCTCTCTCTTACACACACACACACACACACCACCTACCTCTCTCTCTCACACACACAGACCCAAACAATCCCTCGACCTTCCCCCTTGCACATGATATACAATTACCCAAACGAACAATACACGACCCTCATCCTGCCCCACCTACACATCTATTCCTAACCCCATCAGAGGTGAATTCCTCCTCACAAGCAACCCCTAACCCACCCCCTAAGATTCATTCCCTATGCTCCCTTCCCTCCCCATCCTCCTTCCCCTCACCAGTGATTACACTAAATCCAGTGCAATATCCTTCCCTACAAGCAGCATTTACCAGCATCCCAAACATCCAGAAGAGAGGAACTCAAAAACACCAGCATAATAACAAAACGAAATTGAAAGTGCGGTATACGAAAGCAGATGGAAGAACAAATAATAGGGATATATGGAAAGAGTGGATAGAGAAAACATCCCAGACAACGTAGCTCCAAGAGAGACCAGGCTCACAGAGGTGACAGCAGATTCGTTCTTCCTGGAAAGGCTTCAATAATTAGAAAGTACAGAGGAAACAGAAGTGAATGAATAGCATCTGGAACCATTAAACTTTTGAGGAGAGAGATTAATATTAAAGAGATGAATTGACTACATAATTGAGACATTCACAACAGGGGGACCCAAGGTGTAAAAGCACTGATATACAACCCATTACTAAACAGCAGGAGACAGATTCATGACTATGATGACAATATTATGTCGGCAAATGTCATAATACCGGAGGTGACTAGGAAGGACAGATGGGCTTATATTTTTGAACTGAAAGAAAGCATTCAATATGGCACCTCAGAAGAGACTAGGACAAAAGCTACAGGAGAAGGTACGATGAATAGCTAAAGTACTACACTGGATCAAGAAATATCTAACAAGAAGAAAACTGAGTTATTGTCCAGGAACAGATGCCGTGGAAATAAATGATATAAAATACCGACATAATGGAAATATAAACACAAACAGTATAATGTGATCATTTATTGACAACGTTTCGCCCACACAGTGGGCTTTATCAAGGTCCTAGATATCCTAGGCTCTATCACCCTACTCGGAAGACTGACACATACAGCATTCTCCACCTGACTATCCCATAAATACTCACGTACCTTTCACCAAGGTAGGTCTGTTTGTGACTTGATAAAGCCACTGTCTGGGCGAAACGTTGTCAATAAATCACATTAATCTGCTTAGGTATTTATATTTCCAGTAGATGCCGTGATGAGCGATAGAGACGAATGGGCTTCTATAATAGTTGGTACTGGTACCAGTGCTGTTATTTTTATAACTAAAGGAAATGACAAAAGAAATTGAGTCAGAGATGTTCCTGTTTGCAGATGACATATAATCATGAGAATACAAGGTGGAACAGAACAGAAAAGATTGCAAATCGAACTGGACTGGTTGCAAGATTGATCGGGAAAGATTGTATGATTGATGGGAAACCGGAACACCAGGGCTCAACCGGAAGTTGAGAACTCTGAAGAGTCATAGGGAGGTAGTCAGGAAGTGGAACGACCTGGAGAGTAAAATGGTAGTGGCAGGATCCATACATAGCTTCATGAAAAGGTACGAAAAGGCTCTCGAAGCCACGAGAGAATTTAGTAGCTACCTGCTAAGAGGCGGGGGAAGGAGCTAAGATTCGACCTCTGCTACCACAATTAGGTGAGTACACACACACACACACACACACACACACACACACACACACACACACACACACGCACACACACACACACACACACACACACACACACCACACACACACACAGTCTAGGGGGCCAGAGACTACAAACCTCACTCAAGGAAAAAGATCTTGGGGTGAGTATAACACCAGGCACATCTCCTGAAGCGCACATCAACCAAATAACTGCTGCAGCATATGGGCGCCTAGCAAACCTCAGGACAGCATTCCGACATCTTAATAAGGAATCATTCAGGACCCTGTACACCGTGTACGTTGGGCCCCATTTTGGGAGTATGCGGCACCAGTTTGGAACCCACACCTAGCCAAGCACGTAAAGAAACTAGAGAAAGTGCAAAGGTTTTTGCAACAAGACTAGTCCCAGAGCTAAGAGGTATGTCCTACGAGGAGAGGTTAAGGGAAATAAACCTGACGACACTGGAGGACAGGAGAGACAGGGGGACATGATAACGACATACAAAATACTGAGAGGAATTGACAAGGTGGACAAAGACAGGATGTTCCAGAGATTGGACACAGTAACAAGGGGACACAGTTGGAAGTTGAAGACACAGATTAATCACAGGGATGTTAGGAAGTATTTCTTCAGCCACAGAGTAGTCAGTAAGTGGAATAGTTTGGGAAGCGATGTAGTGGAGGCAGGATCCATACATAGCTTTAAGCAGAGGTATGATAAAGCTCACGGTTCAGGGAGAGTGACCTAGTAGCGATCAGTGAAGAGGCGGGGCCAGGAGTTCGGACTCGACCCCCGCAACCTCAACTAGGTGAGTACAACTAGGTGAGTACACACACACACAACACACACACACACACACACACACACACACACACACACACACACACACGAGTCACAGGGATGTTACAAAATATTTCTTCAGTCACAGAGTTGTCAGGAAGTGGAATAGTCTAGAGATCAGTGAAGAGGCGGGACCAGAAGCTGAGTCTCGGCCCCTGCTACCACAATTAGGTGAATTAGGTGAGCACAACACTACCGTACTCACCTCGTATGTGGAGTACCATATGAATCTTATAATTGTCCTCTAAGGTATGAGTTGTAACTCGAGTCGTATTCATGACCATGGCGTCTCTGTACTCCCAGTAAGTAATGGCTCGAGGATGGGCCTCCACGAAGCACTCAAGGTGGACCTCGGTGGCTTGAGGCGCACCTACCAGCTGATTAGGAACGTGCATCTGGGGAGCAACTGCAGGCAGAGAAACACTGTATGATGTAATTAGATATTAGTGACTTTCAGTTGGTATTTTTGCAGGTATATCTTACGTTAAATGTGTAGGTATATACGTAGATATATCACGTGTACTGTAGGTATACTCTAGGAGGTATACTCTAGGAGGTATACTCTTCGTTTACTCTAAGTACACTGGACATGCATCGTATTTCTGACGAGGATTGATACGCTTATAAAATTAATTAGAGCTTCATTAACTAGTAATATTGCTAGTTAATGAGATTCCAGAGCTTACTAGAACTATCATTACTACTAGTACTGCTACAATTAGTACTACTATACTTCTTACGTTTCTGCTACTTTTACTACTACTGTTGCTTATAATAATAAACTATTAATGCTGCTACTATCACTACTACTACTAGTAGTGCTACTACTACTATTACAAATATTATAACTACTTGTATAATTACTGATGAAGTCATTACTACTCATTAGACTATTATTCCTTCTGCTACTACTACCAGGACTACCACTGCTACAACGACTACCACCACTACCTCTACTGTAACCACTACTACAACCACAACTTACACTCCACACATCAAGAGTGATCCTCTTGCTGACAGAAGGGGGGACACCATTGGAAGCTATACACAGGTAGGCTCCCATGTGTGTCCTGCTAACCTGTCGTAACCGCAGGTGAGACCCGTCCAGGTGAGACACTGTAATGAGACACCCAAATTAAAGACAGAACCTGGTAATTATGTACGACAGGTGCAAATACATAGACACATGCGCAGATAGTTAATTGGAAGGTAGGTATAATTCTCTCTAGATTTAGTAGGTGCTGGTCATAAGGAACAACAGGAGGAGATAGAGAAAATATAGGCCTTGATCGGTCCATTTGTGAGACAGTGGTTGGGTAAGATTGGTCAGGAAACAGGACTAGTGTTTCCTGAAGCGGGTTTTAGTCATGTGATCACCCGTCGTTGGAGTTTTTGGTCATCTGACCGAGGCCTTCCGCTGGCTTACCACTCCACCACTCTAGAAGTTAGGTCATAACCATTTACTTTGGAAAATATAGAGAGGAGGAGGAGGTGAGAGGAATAAGGAAGAGAGGGAGAAGGAGAGAGAGAGAGGCAAGAAAAGAGGGAGGAAAGAGAGAAAGGAGAAGGGAGAAAAGGAAGAGAAAAGGGAGACAGTTTTCCCCTAGATACAAATTTCAAATAATTTTCCTCACTTTTGAATTAGTTTTTTGAGATTTAAAAAGAAAAATAAATTTCCGTTTATTCACAGTCTGATTTCTGGCTCATTCATATTTGTAACTGTGAAATAATCTGGTGATGCTGTCAACATATTTGTAACTGAGAAATAATCTGGTGATGCTGTCAACATATTTGTAACTGTGAAATAATCTGGCGATGCTGTCCCAACATATTGTAACTGAGAAATAATCTGGTGATGCTTTTCAACATATTTGTAAAATGTGAAATAATCTGGTGATGCTGTCAACATATTTGTAACTGAGAAATAATCTGGTGATGCTGTCAACATATTTGTAACTGTGAAATAATCTGGTGATGCTGTCAACATATTTGTAACTGTGAAATAATCTGATGATGCTGTCAACATATTTGTAACTGAGAAATAATCTGGTGATGCTGTCAACATATTTGTAACTGAGAAATAATCTGGTGATGCTGTCAACATATTTGTAACTGTGAAATAATCTGGCGATGCTGTCAACATATTTGTAACTGAGAAATAATCTGGCGATGCTGTCAACATATTTGTAACTGAGAAATAATCTGGTGATGCTGTCAACATATTTGTAACTGTGAAATAATCTGGCGATGCTGTCAACATATGTAAAAAAAACAATTATGTACATTTAACGATATTTATTAAAGGTAATGTTTCGCTACACGTCGCTGCAAAAATACTTCCTAATATCCCTGTGATTCATCTGTGGTATTTGTACATCCAGATGTGGACTCTAACACCATATTTGCCTGTGTGTGTGTGTGTGTGTGTGTGTGTGTGTGTGTGTGTGTGTGTGTGTGTGTGTGTGTGTGTGTGTATGTGTGTGTGTACTCGCCTATTTGTACTAACCTATTTGGGGTTGCAGGGGTCGATTCACAGCTGCTGACCCCACCTTCTCGTTGGTCGCTACTTGGTCCACTCTCTGCTCAGGGAGCTTTGTCGTACCTTTTCTTAAAGCTGTGTATGTGTATAACCGATTCCAGAATTTCGACACATTTTTGGAGTGGTGGGAAAAAATCGAAATTGATGACCAGATACATCAACTTAGAGAGAATAAAGTACATCTTGCGGCCGCCATCCTGACCTTAATTAACCAAATATATGAGGTAACTTCCCTCTCTAAATCATCACTCGGGCCTAATTCAGTTTCTAATTACACCATGTGAGTTTGACCTAAAGGAATGGGCCAAGAAATCCTCTCTTCGTCGGCTGGTTGACGCTTCATGTGAGGCCTCTAGACCCATAGGAGGCAGGTAGGTAGTTATGTTTGATGCGAGGGAGGGGATGGACAGCTCCAGTTCCTCGCAACAAGAGCACTTCGCTTGGTTTTACACAGTGAAGCATTTTCATAATAATATAAGTCATTTACTGCTTAATAATCATACTACCACTACTACTACTACTACTACCACCACTACTACTACTACTACTACCACTACTACTACTACTACTACTACTACCACTACTACTACTACTACTACTACCACTACTACTACTACTACTACCCCTACTACTACTACTACTACTACCACTACTACTACTACTACTACCACTACTACTACCACTACTACTACTACTACTACCACTACTACTACTACTACTACCACTACTACTACTACTACTACCACTACTACAACTACTAATACAACTACTACTACCACTACTACTACTACTACTACTACCACCACTACTACTACTACTACCACTACTACCACCACTACCACCACTACCATTACTACTACTACTACTACTACTACCACTACTACTACTACTACCACTACTACTACTACTACCACTACTACAACTACGACTACTACTACTACTACCACTACTACTACTACCACTACTACTACTACTACTACTACCACTACTACTACTACTACTACCACTACTACTACCACTACTACTACTACTACCACTACTACTACAACTACTACCACTACTACTACCAGTACTACTACTACCACTACTACTACTACCACTACTACTACTACTACTACCACTACTAAAACTACCTTTACTACTACTACTACCACTACTACTACTACCACTACTACCACTACTACTTCCACTACTACTACTACTACTACTACCACTACTACTACTACCACTACTACTACTACTACACTACCACTACTATTACTAGCACTACTACTACTACCACTATTACTACTGCTACCACCACTACTACTACTACTACTACTACTACCACCACTACTACTACTGCCACTACTACTACTACCACCACTACTACTACCACTACTACTACTACCGCTACTACTACCATTACTACTACCACTACTACTACAGCTACTACTACCACTACTACTACCACTACTACCAGTACCACTACTGCTGCTACCACTACTAATACTACTACTACCACTACTACTACTACTTCCACTACTACCACCACTACTACTACTACCACTGCTACTACTACCACTACTACTACCACCACTACTACTACTACCACTACAACTACTACCACTATTACTACTACCATACTACTACTACTACCACCAAACTACCACCACTACCATTACTACTACTACTATCACTACTACTACTACCACTACTACTACTACCACTACTACTACCACTGCTACTACTACCACTACTACTACTACCACCACTACTACTGCTACTACTACTACTACTACTACCACTACTACTACCACCACTACTACTACTACTACTACCACTACTACTACTACTGCAACTACTAACACTACTAATAGTACCATTTGTAGAAGTGGCGGTAGTAGTAGAAGTGGTAGTAGTAGTAGTAGTAGAAGTGGTGGTAGTAGAAGTGGTGGTAGTAGTAGTTGTGGTAGTAGTAGTAGTAGTAGTTGAAGTGGTGGTAGTAGTAGAAGTGGATGTAGTAGTAGTAGTAGTAGAAGTGGTGGTAGTAGTAGCAGTAAAAGTGGTGGTACTAGTAGAAGTGGTGGTAGTAGTAGAAGTGGTGGTAGTAGTAGAAGTGCTGGTAGTAGTGGTAGTAGTAGAAGCGGTGGTAGTAGTGGTAGTGGTGGTGTACTATAGGAGGTGGTGGTAGTAGTAGTAGTAGTGAGGTAGTAGAAAGTAGAAGAAGTGGTGATAAAAGTAGTAGTGGTGGTAGAAGTAGTAGAAGTGTGGTAGAAATAGAAGTGGTGGTAGTAGTAGTAGTGGAATTGGGGGTAGAAAAGTAGAAGTAGTGGTAGTAGTAGTAGTAGTAGTAGTGGTCTTAGTAGTACTAGAAGTGGTGGTAGAGAGTAGTAGTATGGTGGTGGTAGTAGTAGTATAGAAGTGGGGGTAGTAGTAGTATTGATTGTAGTAGTAGAAGAAGAAGTAGTGGTAGTACACAAGAAATAGTAGTAGTAGTAGTACTAGTAGCACAAGTAATAGTAGTAGTAGCGGTAGTAGCACAAGTAGTAGTGGTAGTAGCACAAGTAGTAGTAGTAGTGGTAGTAACACAAGTAATAGTAGTGGTAGTAGCACAAGTAATAGAAGTATTAGTGGTAGTAGCACAAGTAATAGCAGTAGTAGTGGTAGTAGCACAAGTAGTAGTAGTAGTAGTGGTAGTAGCACAAGTAATAGTAGTAGTAGTGGTAGTAGCAAGAGTAATATTTAGTATAGTGGTAAGTAAAACAAGAAAGTAGTAGTGGTAGTAGCACAAGTAGTAGTAGTGGTAGTAGCACAAATAGTAGTAGTAGTGGTAGTAGCAAAGTAGTATATAGTAGTGGTAGAAACACAAGTAATAGTAGTAGAGTGGAAGTAGCACAAGTAATAGTAGTAGAGTGGTAGTACCCAAAAGTATTAGTAGTGTAGTAGCACAAGTAGTAGTAGTGGTAGTAGCACAAGTAATAGTAGTAGTGGTAGTAGCACAAGTAATAGTAGTAGTAGTGGTAGTAGCACAAGTAATAGTAGTAGTAGTGGTAGTAGCACAAGTAATAGTAGTAGTAGTGGTAGTAGCACAAGTAGTAGTAGTGGTAGTAGCACAAGTAATAGTAGTAGTAGTGGTAGTAGCACAAGTAATAGTAGTAGTAGTGGTAGTAGCACAAGTAATAGTAGTAGTAGTGGTAGTAGCACAAGTAATAGTAGTAGTAGTGGTAGTAGCACAAGTAAATAGTAGTAGTGGTAGTAGCAAAAAGTATAGTATAGTAGTAAGTGGTAGTAGCACAATAATAGTATAGTAGTGGTAGTACACAAGTAGTAGTAGTGGTAGTAGCACAAGTAGTAGTAGTGGTAGTAGCACAAGTAATAGTAGTAGTGGTAGTAGCAGAAGTAGTAGTAGTAGTAGTGGTAGTAGCACAATAATAGTAGTAGTGGTATTACACAATTATAGTAGTGGTAGTACACAAGTAGTAGTGGTAGTAGCACAAGTAATAGTAGTAGTAATGGTAGTAGCACAAGTAATAGTAGTAGTGGTAGTAGCACAAGTAATAGTAGTAGTAGTGGTGGTAGTAGCACAAGTAATAGT